CTACCCGTGGCTCGCACTGTAGGCAAATGCATGTTTTTTCTTATGGTGCAGACGACACAAGGATTCGTAATTATCCAAACTTGAAAATTCTCTTTGAAGATATTCATTGTTGCAATTTCAGATTTGGATTAAAATCAGAAAATCATATTTGAGTGAAGCATTTAATCCCCTGCTGTTATCCGTTTGAGTGAGCTGGCTGAACACCTGCCTGTTCGTCAAAATGAATTCAGAACAGGACGAACACCAGCATTTTTTCATCTCTACAGTCTAAATTTTGGAAGCCATTAGTGGTGCAGGTGGAAACTTTTCGCCTGCAGACCATATTCTTGTTAGTTTTCACCTTGTGCATAAAATTAATTCCCAATATAGACCAGATCTACTGTCGGCAAAGACGACTCGTTGGAAGAGGCCTAGTTGCCATCTCTTACAGCTAGAACTACAGATTCTAGGTGCAATTCAATATACCATATCCCTGCGGAAATCGAATTCACCTCGTTTCTTTTACTTATCACAATGTTCCTAAACACTGAAACAACTTGATGTTATCCTCAAGCTCATTTCTGCGATTTGGTCATACATTCATTTGTACTCTTACAGTGTTTTGATGCTATCTTTACGTACGTTCAAATTTTAGTCGCAGATTCTGATGGCTAGAAACCTGCAGCCAAAGTAACCTACGAATGTTCACTAAATTTCTTGATGAAATTTTTAATTTCTGACACTAATAATTAGAGAATATGCTTACAAAAATTTTTTCCTTTTGAAGCGATACATCAAATAGTTTGTACAGACAGTTTATGCAAATGATATAGATTTAGACTTGCGACCAGAAGACTATGCCTAAGCGGTTGCACCTAAGTGTCATTCTGAATTCATAGCGCTGCTACTTGTTTCTTCTGTCGGTTTATGATTCACCGCTGCGTATTTCGATCGTTGATTTCCTCAATATTTTTTCCAGCTTAAGTCTTTCGAGCTGCCAGGAACAGTGTCGATGAGTTTCCAGTTGTCTCTCCTACCACTTAGCTAAAGCAAAGTAGGATCGATTTCTCATGATTCAGTTAAAAAATTTTTACTGGATTAACTGTTTCAATGTTTTAGGGATGATGGACTGTTTGGTTACAATCTTGTTGAAGAAGCCGCCAACGTTGTTGCTGTATTTTCTTCAGAGCTTGATGCAATGATGTGTTACTGTAGAACCGGTTACTGTTCAGTTAGTGTTCCTGATGAACTGGAGCTGAAAAATTCTACGGTATTTGCGGTTTTTATAAATAGTTTAACTAATCAGGTTGGGTGACTTATAATAAATCGCCTGATTATTATTCTCATCATGATAATGATGTTCTTTATATTTAGTCATTACTTTTCTATCATTTTATTAACCATAATCATTCCCTTTGGCCTCATTGAGGCTGATGGCACGTCGCGTTTCAGGTCGTAGCTTTTTGCATTTACATGTCGTATATAGTTGGTTGGTGTTGTTTCTAGTTCTCTAAATCATACTCTGCCTGTCTCACATCTTAAATTTTTCTTTATCTGGCATTTCTTCTGTATCTTTCGCTTGCTTGTATCGTTTCAGCCGGCATTCCTCTGTTCGCCTGACACTTTTCTGATAGAGTCATTGGTAAATCTGTCTAGCTTGGCGATTCATTTGACTTTTCTTAAACTGGTCACCTTCATCACCCGTAGCATTTTATTTCGCGTTATTTTAACCCGTTTTCTTGGCGCTGTTGTCTGCCACAGAGTTTTATGCATAACTTTTTTGATTTTTATCGTATCTGCTGGTCATGTAATTATTTTAATCATTTTTCTGTCTTACCTTCTGATCTTTCCCAAATTTCCCGTTATTACAGTACAAAGTTCTATCCTTCTGCTAACAACACGGTGTACTTGCTATCTTCTGCTACTAAACTATAGCGACACTCGAATTTCTGTTTGCTCCAGTTATTTTTCCGCAACTTACATACCTGCGTCTTTTTTGATACTTATTACTTGACCTAAACATTTCCTGCTTCACCTGTTAGTCATTTTGACCAGGTGTTTCCAGTCGACCGATACATTTGCTCCTGCAACACATCTCGGTCATCGACAAGAATGTCTGTACCACAGGAAAGTCTTACATCTTCCACGTTCTGATCATGCAGTCAATATTTCTTTTACTTCAGGCATTTGCTTCATCATTTTCTATGAATATTTTACTAAACAAATAGGAAAAATGATGCAATCTTTTCACAAATTCGAGTCATTCTGTAAACTTTCTGATTATTTTGACGGTGCTAAACTCTTCTCTCAGTTATTGAATAAGTCAGTATGATTGATAAAATATTATTTTGACGGTGCTAAACTCTTCTCTCAGTTATTAAATAAGTCAGTATGATTGATAAAATATTTTTTGATGAGTTTGTGGTCATACAACCTGAAATACGGTATAAACTGCTTGCACACAATGATGGATAAGTATAATTTGGTAGGCTGATATTATAACCCAATGGATGAACTGTGTGCATTGTGTATGAATCGTCGTTTCTTTGATTATTTCATAATATCCGTGAAATTCGTCTCGATTTCACTGCCCTTCACTTCCACTTCCAAACATTGGCAAGTGACTGCTTGAAGGCGTCATGACTCATTTCATTGTTGAACATTTCGGTCAAGAGTGAAAAGGTAAAAATTCTTCTCATACTAACCTTCAGCTGACATTTTTAGTAAAAACGACAAATGGCTCACTGTTCTGTGATGATGAAATAAATTTGCACACTTTAACCTATTCAGTTTGTTTGATTTAGAGGTCTTCATGACCTAACAAGAAGGATATTATTTTCTTCTATTCTTATCCGTGGTTCTTTAAGTTCAGTACTTCTATCATCTTAACAGCTAACAGTCGCTGTTCACTCTTTGGGGAGGGGATTTAAGTGAGCAAAACAGTATTCACGTTGGTTTCTTCAGAAATTAAGACGGTGGTTTTCCAACTCCTCCCCCTAATTTTGTAGTAAAAAGTTTTATTACAAAATTCTTTTAAATCTCAAACGTACTCTCAACCCTAAATATCACTGCTTCCTGAATTGATCGAGGTTGATTGTTGCCCGCTTTTGCGAGAAGATGTCGAATTTGGATTCTGAAGAACACAGTTTCGCTACCGACGCATAAATTTTGTCATCACATTTTATTCTTTTTGCAGTTATATGCATAAGTTTATTGAAAAATGTAGTGATACCCGGAACAGTGTACCATTTTTATGATCTTATCATATTCACAAGTACAAAATTCTAGCACCTCATAGTGCCTTTTGTTTTCTTTCTACTGGAATGTTATAACATGTTAGGAACTGGTGTTTAAAAATTTGTTATGCCAAAAAATATTCTGTTTATCAGTACATATTTAATGTCGATGAATATTTCTTGGAATATTTTAGGTACTTCCGGAATTGAAAAATTTTGATACATTGTATATTTGGTTTCCTGCTGACGAAATCGAGAGAGCAAAGACGATTGGCCATATGATTGGAGTGGATAAATGCTATTTTGTCAGGTCAGTATTGATTACGTAGAACTACGTTTGTTGCCGTGTTGCAGACGCCATATAAATAATAGCTCATTCATTACAGCGTAATGCAGTTAGCTTGTCGCAGATGTAAAAACTGCATTGAAGTGAGTAAGATGGCACATTGTGACCATAGCCTTGTTCCCTGATGCATCTTACTTTATTTTGATGACTAGAGCTGTATTGATCGCCATTTTGAGAATGCATTTTATACGTTTTCTCAAAACAAATGTATTAATAGGTGCTAGCTTCCAACAGGTTTTGTGAGATTTTTATTCCTCCTTGTTCCTAAACGTGTGAGGCTATACTTGTGACATTAATAAGTAGTCTGCTTATTTATATATTAAGCTCTAAAAATTTGATTCGTAACGAGTTGCGCTATACTTTTTTAAACGGCGCTTATAGAGATTTGGATACCTATCGACTCACTTTGTCAGAGTTGGTTCAACGACGAAAGAAACAGTACACTAACGTCGAGAAGATTCTGCTCAATGCGGTGCGAATGTTGCATTCCTCCATTTGTAGCATACAGTCCGAGAGCGACGTTGTTGCAAACTTCATCTACAAGCACGGTGTCTTGAAAGGCATTGCGCAAGTAATATTACTAGAAGCGGTTTCGTTTCGTTTACTGGGAAACTTTTGTTCTCCTTTAGTGGAAACGTTTGTCCGTACTGAATGATTACCTGGGCGGTCTGCGCTTGGGCGAACTGACGCTGCTTAGCGGGCCAACTGGCTGCGGCAAGACTACCTTCCTCAGTCAGTATTCACTTGATCTGTGTGAACAAACCGAAGCCCAGGTAACTTTTGGCGCACGCTTTCGTTATGTTTTTAGTGCTTTTTAACTGAGCAAAAATTTTATAGAAAGAGTATTTGCAGAATGGTGTTCGGTTCGTTTTAATTTAATTTGCATCAAGTATGGATAGATGAATTCTTTGTCTCGCTGAATAACAATTATTTCTTCTCTTTTTTTATTCATGGTTCTAGCCAGCAAGATGATGTTATCTTCCTTTATTTACCAATGAATTTCAACACTGTGCGCCATCATCTTCATCAGAATAAAATATACATAAACTGTACGCTGTTAAGAGAAAGGTTCCGGGCATTTTCGTTGTTTATTTCATTATATTTTGCAAAGAGGTTATTGGCATTCCAGCTGACCCTCAGATTTTGCGACTTTGTACAATCGTTACATATTCCGTTGTTGTTAGTAAAACCCTACAATTATTGCTTGATTAACATGCCGACGTTTCATCCTCTGGCAACCAAGTTACATTCGTCTGACTGAATGAGTTTCCCAGAAAGAAAGTTGCAGGAGTACTCCATTTTTTCATTTATCAAACCTTTGGCTAACTGCCATCATGCGATCGAGTGTAAATTTCGAGGGTAGAAAATGCATTCGATGAATTTTCAGGGTTCAACATTAGGCCATATACAAACAGTTCGGTGTGATTTTCTTCGTGGGTCAGTATGACCATAGCAACTTTCCGGTGATAGAACGCATGAAGAGCCAGATAATGCACAAAACAATGAATAAAGAAGCAGCAGGAACATTTATGCCAACATTTATTTTGAACTTGATAATAGGCTAAATTTTATGAGAACTGAGTTTTCAAAAATCGGTGCATGTCTGAGCATCACGCGCAACTTCAAAATTTGGGAGCAGGTTGTCGGTATGCTAGAAATTGATGTAACGATTAGGGCTGCAAAAGGTTTGGATTGAACAGAGATCAAGAAGATCATCAGGCAGGGTGTTTTATTCTCCTCTAAGCTGATCATTGCGATTGTCTGTCGCACTCTACAAAATATCACTGAATAGCACTTATGAGGACGGCCTCTTAATGCAATGGAGATGCACCTTACGATCACTGAAGCCAGTGCTTACGGCCTTTGACTATGCTGATGACATTGTTTTACTGGGCAACTGTGACGAAGGCTTTAGGCTGCTAATTAAACTCGTGTCTGCGAGTGTGTTCGTGTGTTCCGCTGTTTATTCCAAAAGTGTTTCGTGCATAGACTTATCTGCTGTCAAATGTCCCGGTTTTGTTACTGTTATTTATCCAACGTGTCCCTATATCCGTTGGTACGGTGATTTGTAAATACTATCGTTAAGCCATGATGAATTTAGCATTGAACCTCGATGATCTGCTAGCTCTGTTAGTGCTCTTTCTTCACCAAATCCTCAGACGAATTATTCTGTTTTGCTCTTATGCTGTAGAATCACCAAATCCTCAGATCCAAATCTTCACCAAATCCTCAGACGAATTATTCTGTTTTGCTCTTATGCAGAATTATTCTGTTTTGCTCTTATGCTGTAGAATTGTTTGGTCATTACCCATCATTGGAGATGTGGGTAAAGGTCTAGATTATTGACATCTAGGAGTTGTGTCAGTAGAATCAAGGCGTTATTAAGTTATATTTGCTGTTGATAATTGTCAGTAAATTTAATTTTGTGACTAAACGAGTTATTGAATGTTATAGGTTAATACCTTGTGGTGCAGCTTCGAAATTAACAACTGCCGTTTGATACAGATCATGATGCAGCAGCTAAATGGGTATTTATTTTTTGTATCACTAGAACTTTTATTTTTGGAAGCAAATTGTTATTAGAAAATAGAAATTTTATGGGATGCGAACAGGTTGTGTGAACATGTTGAATAAAAATGAGCATAATCAGCGTGAGAAATTCAAGTAGTTTATCTGTGCGTGATGCAGCATCTTCGTCAAATAATATGAAGCCATAAATTCTAAATATTATATTTGAAGTAAATAAAGTTGTTGTTTGCCGAGCGAATATTTTAAAAATGGGGGCGAAAGTGATTCAGCCATGTGGTTTGATGTAATAACTGTCCAATTATAAGTTGAAATGTAGCGCAGTCTATAATAAAATAATATTTAGCATGGTTTCACAGTCACCTTGGATGCTGGCAAACAAGGAACAGTATGGCATTAAAGAAAGTCATGTTCAGAGTTCAAATCCTACTTTGGAGTGAACATTTCAGATTACCCTTAATTCTTCCTTCTTATCGATTACGCATCTCTTCAGCTGGTAAAGACAATCAACTATCCAATGGCTTGTGGAAAGAAACTAGTTTTGTGCTGTAATACCAGAGTTTCCGTTGCTTTCTACGTATAACTGCTCCTTGTTGCTAGAGGCTGAAAGGCCTTTCTAGGTCCTGTAATAAATGATTTTCAGGCGTTTTATTTATTACTCGCGGGTTTATTACGTCATAGTCCATTTTTCCATGTGAAGGAGTTATAAAAATTTATTAATGGTGCAGTAAATTTTTAGGGTAGGTGTATTTCTATTTTTAACCTAAGCGAGTTTTCAGTCGTTAACCGTTTAGTACTAAAACTAGCAATTTTTAATTTCCATTGTTTTTTGACTGGCCTTCTAGTGACTGAGTTTCAGATTTTTTCTGTTTTCACTCTTTTGACTGCTACCAAAACGTCCATGGTTCTACAGCTGAGTCGTCTGATAATCAAACTCATAATTAATGTTTTTGGTTCCAATTCCCTCAGGGTTAGTCGTTGTTGATCTCTTAAAGTATAAGATAGATAAACGTATTGCTATGTAAAGAAGGTCCATGACACTTCAAATTGTACTCTTGCGTTGTGCATCGAAATGGAGGCTAACTTCGCATTATTAACTCTTTGAAAGATGATGACCGGCATCTTAATAATAAGTCTTTAAGACTAAATGTCTTCAGACGTGATGGGTATTAGCAGAAAGTTGGAGCCAGGCAGTCAGTTTCAGTTTTTGCTTAGCCTTTCGGGTCACCGAGACAAGCCCGTTAGACGGTGTTCGATCCTGTGCCACGGTCAGAGCTTCGTCGGAACTAAGCACTAGTCTTGAGCAAGGCCCTTCGAAAGGCGTTTCCTCAAATTATTCTTGACTTTCCCCATCGTTCTTAGCTGCTTGGTTAAGCAACTACTCAGTCATTCTCAGCCTGTGTGTCGCGAAGGATTGCAAATGTGTCGCGAGATTTTTGGAGATTATTGAAATTTCCTAGCGTTTTTAAACTTGACATAATTTCAGAAAATTTTGATTGCGTAATTCCAATTGTGATGATGAATCAAATGGTTTCAGATTCGCACCACTCGGTTGAGATTTCGAGAAAGTTGTTACTTTAGTTTTTACTTTAGCTCAACTTTTAACGTATTATTTCTGAATTAAGTTTCTGAACTGGCGGGGAAGTCAACTTTCTGTAAATTTCGGCTGATTTTTTGCTTTTTTTGGTTGAAGAAGAGTAATAGTTAATAATTATCAGCGTAGTTTTCGCGCTTAATGATTATAAACATTCCCTTTATTCCCTTTATTTAGCCATGGATAATTTTTTATCATAATCGTTAGCTCGAAAAGAAAACGTATTGAACCGAAGGAAAGGAACCAAGCAAAAATTCAAGTAGGAGTACATCGAGTTTGATTTCGAGGCATCAGAATATGAAGATGCTCTAGTTCCTTTTTGCTTGCTTTGCAACTCAGAGTTGTCGAACGAATCGAGAAATAACAAATTCTATCACTCCAAATTTACTGACACGAACTTGAAAGAGTTTCGGCTTTTAGCTGAGAAATCGTTTCCTGCAGTCAAAATTTTATTGCCGTTTGCTACTTCATGGTTCTGTGAATTTGGATTTTCTGCTTTGACTGAAATCCTATCTTAAAGGAGAGACTTCTGAGAATTGATGACGAAATGCGAACTTGCTTGTCGACTTTAGGGCCACGATTTGGCATGATTTGTTCTCCTAAGCAATCTCAGCCATCTCATTGAACATAAATAAAAAATTTTCAGCTATACAAATTGTTAAGTTTATTTTTTGGTGTCGCGAAAATTTTAAGATTTTACCCTTGTGTCGATTCCCAATAAACCTTGAGAATCACTTAACTTTTTTTCTAAAAGGATTCGCAAGATGAGGCCACAAATTTTCTTTTGGGCCATAGATTTGGACCGCATCGCAGTACCCATCCATCGTAGCATTTGCGAAATACCAACTAAATGAGCAAATTTGATGTTATTTTTAAGATCTCTGTTAAAGCAGTTTTCGAATTTTAGGAGACGTGTTGATAACAGTACAACTTATGCAGATTTCAACGCGTGTTACGAAAAGTTATGTCGTCTGCCGCTTTATTTTTCAAATTTTTCCAGTACTGACAGTGTGAGCGATATACTTACGGTAAGATGAACAATTTATGGTTGGTTAAAATTTTTAAAAGAACAGAATGCAATGTTTATTAAAGTATTGAGTCTAATAAAACGTGGTAATTTAAATATTCTCAAAATAGATAATACGCCAGGTTTTTGGTTCTGATTAAATATTCTCCTCTTCAGTAAACTGATAAACAGGGTGGTTAAACTTTACCTCGGCAGCGGTTAGCTAGGTTCGATTCGGATTTTTGCCTAACATGTAGAGGAGGTGAAATATTTCAGGAGGTTTGTTGCTTTCTCATCCACTGATGGGCAAGCGGTTCTCATTTTTTATCGGTGATAAATACTAGGAAGGTGTTAACTCGTACAGTTGTTAGCATACATTTTTAGTCCCAGAAATAAATCGCAGTATAAAACTGTTTTGATACCTGATAGAAACGACAAAAATGCATTAAAAAGAAAAACATTTCTTACTTTACATCAGCAGTTTTGCTGCACCGCTCCCTTGCTTCTAGAGCCTAGGGGGGACCATTTAAGCAGGCCACGTCCCCATGATATTTAAACGTCTGCAGTGCATAGAATGCAGCACTGCCTCTCGAACTAGAGTTGAACAAATGCATATTTAACAAAGATTGCCACAATTCGTAGGCGAACGAATGAGAAAGTACAACCCTGATGTTTTTTACACTGTGCATTTTCACAGATTCAGTGTGGTATTAAAACTGTTTTATACTGTGATTTTTTATGATTCTAAAAGTG